TATCGGTGTCTTCTCTCCCTGTTGTGTCTCCATGGTCTGAAATCATGTAACATGCACACATGGTGTGTTCTGTCAACTGGGTGTGGTTCCCTCAGCTTAAAGGGAACCAACCAGCTGCTCTTGGTTTCCACCTTCTTGTGAGAAAATGCAGATCAGAAAGACACATCCTGCTGTCTATTTTGGTCCAGCACTGCCCACACATTGGGAAAAACGATAATATGTCATGCCAGTCTATCTGATCAAAGCACAGATGTAGGGATGGTGAAGCTGGCCTTGGCTGTTGTGACTGCACAGCTGATAGAGTAGCCGTGGAGTCAGGATGTGGGTGAGGAGACTAGGGTGCTGTTTAATGTTCCCTTCTAGGATGTTATCTACAAAGAAATTAAACATTTACCTTTTCCTGGTGCTCTCTGTTCTTGGCACTTAGCCACAGAGTTTGGACTGACCTGACTCTTCCTGGCACCACTAGTCTGGATAGATGGAGGAAAACATGTCATCCTCTGCTCCCTTTGTTGTCCAACTGAAGCTTCTTTGGTTACGTTTTGTTCCCACTGGAGTCTGAAAAATTAGGTTTTGAGAAACTGAGGGCTGTGTGGTGTGCCTCAGTTGCTGGTTTTCTTCAGGTGGTCTCTTGAGATTGAATTAAGATGATTATCAGGGAATTTTGAACCTCTTGATTTTTAGTCTGTGTTTGAGTTAGATTTGCAGAAATACCATGAATTGCTAATTAAAAAACCTTTCTTTTCTTTGTGAAAATAATTCATGCTAATTATAGAAATTGGAAAAATATAAAAAAGCATAATGCTGAACATGTTCCTATTCAGGGATAATCACTAAAAACATTTTGTTGTATTTGTCTGTATTTTGTATGCATAATTAAGATCATTGTGTATAAATTTTTATTTCTGTTTTTATTGCTTAATGCATGAGTGTTCTCTCTTGCATTGGTTGCAGCACAGTATAGGTGTTTGCATGGGTTTCTTGTAATTGCTGTAATGACTTCCTATGTATGGAGTGGCTTTAAACGGCATGTGTTTATTCTCTTGAGTTGCTAGAGACAAGAGGCCCAAATCAAGGTGCAGGCAGTACTGATCCCTCAACTCACCATAGTGGGTTTATTCCTTGTTCCTTTGTTTCTGTTAGCTGTGGCATTCAGGTCTTATTCAGGTAATTGATTTTTTTTTTTTTTTAATTTGCAGTAATAGGATTTGAATCCACACCCAGGGCTTCAGGCATGCTAGGCAAGCACTGTGTTTCTGAGCTGTATCCCAGACTGCTTTTTAAAGTAAACAAAACTTCAGAAAAACTGTTTCCAATTTTGAGATATGCTGTCACTAAATTACTCAAACTGGGTTTACACTCACTCTGTAGCTGCTATTGGCCTCGAGTCCATCTTGGCTTGAACTCAAGGTTGCTGATATCTTCAGAGCACTTGCTCGTTTAAGGTTACATTGATGGCTTTCAGGATAGGGCCTGCCATCTCTAGGGCTCTTGTTCATTTGCAGTGCTTAAGATGGGCTCTTCGCTAGACTGTGTGTGCTCAAATCCCAGAGCCCTCTCAAGCCAAATGACCTTGAGCAAGTATCTTGCTTCTCAGCCACTCATTTTCTGATCATGAAGTTGAAATGAAACACCTGTATTCCTGAGTAGGTATAACCCCGATGGTGTGTGTGTGTGTGATAGAGAGGGGGGGGGGAATTAGGGAGAGGGAGAGAATGTACACAGTACACTTAGGGAAGTGCCTTAAGAATTGCAGTAGTTTTTATTAAAAATTCTGCATGACATGATTTTTTTTCGAGACAGGGTTTCTCTGACATGATTTTTTTTTATTTGAATGGCTTGATACTACCACATTTATTTGTCTAGTATTTTCCTTTTGTTGGCAAGAGGTCTTTTTGTTTTTTTAACCTCACACATAGGCTACCATGGATATCTTTGACTGTCTAGTTTTGTTCTGTTTCAGACCAGTTCCCTACTATAGACTTTGGGAAATGCAACTGTGGCTTCAAAGGGTGATGTGATTTTTCAGCTTCTTGATCAGAGTGTGGCAAGCAGCCTTCCAGAAGGCTCTCACCTGCTGTGTTCCTGCCAGCAGCTGAAATATGAGAGGGCCTGTGAACACTATCACTTTAGAGCCCAAAGTTTAGACACTCCCGGGGCTTCTGATGTTGTCTGCAGTTGTGTGAGTTTGCAAAGGCTTCTGTTTTGAAATGTTGTCCTGTTCTGCTGTGTCTCCAAGTCCTTTTCTGTTCATTTCAAAGGCTGAAAGCTTCCTGGGAGTTTCTGAGGTCATCGAGGATGAGTGTTTGCGGGGAGCGCATGCTAACGGTAGAGTGATTCTGGGTTTCTGTGTGTAGTTTGTTCCTGTTTTCAAACCCAGACATTTAAAGACTCTGCTTAGTGGTACCTGAACAGAAAACTAATGGAATTAGGTTTGCAGCTAAAGCCATGTGAAGCCCAGAGGGATAGGTGAGAGGGCGCCTGTGCAAGCCAACTACCAGCTGGAAGGGTACCACTCGCCTACCTCCTTCCTTTCCTGCAGTGACTGCTATGGCCTGGCTCCTGGGTCATACAGGAGGAGCAGGGCTCTGGTCAGGGCTCTGTGTTGCAAGGACCACATCAGAAACCCATTTGTTCCAGTGCTGCTCAGGCTATCAGGAAATTGCGCTGGGGCTCATTCTCCCCAGTTGTGAACTGATATGAATGTACAGTAAATGCAATAACGCACCGGAAAGGGATTCAGTAATAACCAAGCCAGCTGAGGGCTGAATGGAAAAGAGTCTTTGCCAATGTGAGGACCTTGAGGTAGAATCATCATAGCTTAGTCAGGAGGCCCCAAATGCCAACTCATGGACTCTTACAATGTAGTCAAGAGACAGCAGTGAGAAGATGGGGCCAGAGATGGGGATGATACCATGGCAAGCCAAGGAATGCTGGTGCCCACCAGAGCTGTGCAGGGAGGAAGAGCTTCTGGAGGGATGTGTGTGTGTGCTGCCTGCTTGGTCTCAGACTTCTGGCCTCAGCACTGAGAGTGAATGTCTGCTATTTTACACCCCTTGCTCGGTGGCAGTTGGGTTTGAAGCTCATGCATGTACCAGTCTGTGTTCTACACAAGAGAGTGACCTCTCTGATTGAGTGCCAGCCTAGTGGCAAGAAAGCTTCTAATTACTTTGAATTTCTGTGCTTTCCTTGCCACCACTGGAACGTGTAGTTGGTGCCAGGTGGCACTGGTTTGAGCCTTGTTTTGTTCTGTAAGTCTCATCTTCCTCTTTGTTTTGTGGATGGGGAAACGGGGGCCTGGACAGGAGCAGTGGTAGGGCTGAGTCTTTGCTGCCTAGACTTGGTAGGCAAGGGTGGGTGATGGCAGAGCTGCCACAAGGCTTACTCTTGCAGGCCAGCTCCTGTCTATGTCACATTCTCCACCAGTACCCTCTCATAGACGCCAAAGTATCCCAGTTCTTTAGGCCATTAGCTGTTCCCTAGGCACAGAAGCCAAGGCATGTGGTAGCCAGTAAGCCACCTTCAGTAGACAGTGGATCCTGTTGAGGCTGGAGGCCATTCAGGGCTCTTTGTTTGTAGATTTCCAGTCTGCTGCTTCTGTCTTTGCAGTTCTAGCCATGTCTTCTCTTCGGGAGCCTGTGTAAACTATGTGTCTTAACAGTGAGGTCACTTCAGCTCTTACACATTTCCAGTGAAGTCAGGTGCCTTAACCTGACACATGTGGCCTTCTCCCTTCTAGCCCTGCTTTCTAATCCTGTCTTCAATGTCTTGTTCTCAGAGTCTTACCAGTCAGTTCCCCACAACACTGGGGCTAAGAATTTGGGTTCTTGAAGCATATGTGACTCCTCATTCACCAGGGCTACAACTAATGTAGAACTATGGCAAGTGATAGACATTGGTCATAAGTCTGAGATGTGCTTATGGTCAAGGTGCCTGGTTCTTGTTTTAATAGTAAAAGGTAGTAAAAGTCCATGATAGTGGGAGAAACAGCTAAGTAAGGATGTGTGTGTGTGTGTGTGTGTGTGTGTGTGTGTGTGTGTGTGTGTGTGTGTGGATGTATGTATATGTATATTATATGTGTATGCATGCTTATGTGTATGTGTGTTTTCATTCAATAAAATGAAAAATACATAGAGTAGTGTTGTTCACCATCAGGTTGGTGAATTCACTTTAGGCTCTCTAGCCTGGCTGAGCTGCCAGGTGATTGGAGCCACATCGGTAAGCCAGGCTAGACCAGAAACAGAATCAGCCATAGCCAAACCACAAAACTGGTAGCAAATCAAACTTCATTACTTAAGGCAGAACATTGATATGGTAGAAAGGGCAGTGCATTAAGCCAAGGTTTAGCCCTGAGTTGTTTGTTCTGTTTTGGTGATGGGCATTGCTCCATTGCTGAGTTACTTTTTGCTGTACTGTACTCAGTACTCTTTCACTTTCCTTAGTGAAACTCTTATGTTGGTGTTTTACAGTCCCTCTTCCCTGCAGTCTGGGCCTCCAGCCTAATGGCTTATGGTTCTGGGTTTTAGGAATTGTTTTTTGGCTTTGCATTCTGGGTTCCCAGATATCTGTTTCCTTGAATACTTTTGGGACAGTGGTATGAGACTCATACCATTTCCTCCTCTTTTCTTTTTCCCATGTCTTTATTTTAGAAGCCACTATTTCTTCACTGTCCTCTTCTACTCCCTTTCCTGGACCCAGCCCTGGGTCTCTCATTTTACAATAGTGACGGTTGGTCCAGGAAACAGGAATGCTCTCACACCATTTTAAGTTGGCAGATGATTGCCGAGGAGTCTCAGGAACAAACTCAGCGGTGTGCTGGGAGTGCTAGTAGGAGGTGCTCCAACTTGGATTGTCTCTCTGGGCTAGGGCAGCTGACTGTTCGTTCTTCACCTGGCAGTTGGAGAAGTGAGCATGCATCTACCTTCTCAGCATAGTGGGAGTCAGGATGGGGAGTCTATCTCCACACATTTCTTACTCTTAAACTTCTGATTTCTCAACAGGAATCACTCAGATCACATTGACTGGAAGTCGGCTGACTGACATCACTGAATTTGAAGTAAAGGTAAAAACTACTCATCTTTGGGGAGAGATGGCAGCATGGCTTCTCTCTGCCTAGCCTCTTGTTCATCAAAGACCTTCCTCAAATGTCTGCCCAGGGGCTGGTTTTGAATTGGGGTTGCACAGGAAGCAGCTTGTGATGACGTGTTAATCTCACTGTGGTTGTGCCTGGTAGACCTCACCCTTGTCCATGTGAGCCTCAAGGTGGCTTAGGAAACAGTTGCATGGAGTCATCTCCCTACAAGAACATCGTAGTTTAAACTAATCAGTGGCTTCCTTTTCTCAAACTGCTTATATACCTGCAATTATTCCAAGGAAGTCTTTGGCTTATCCTATCTTTGCTGTCCTCAGGTAGACAAGTCCCAGCCCTTCCTCAGTGACCATAGCCACTGCCTTCCTTGGGTCTAGAGTGCCTTCCCAATTGCTGGTACTTCTCATAAGTGTGCAGTTTTATTCTCCCAGCAGTCTTGGGAGACAGACGGGCAGATGGTAGCCTTTCATTCCAAGTCAGCAAACAAGCTTAGAAGTTCAAGTCTTGCTCTAAGGGCACAAGCCAATGTGGATATAGTCTGTTTTCTTTCTGTCTTGTAGCATCTTGGTCTTCTCTGTGGAAACCATGGCAGGCTGCTTGTGTCAAGAAGCCTAGAGCCCCACTCTTCCCAACCTCAGGTTCCTTTCAAGGAATTTTGCTCTTCTGTTATCACCAGTTTTTCTCTACAGCCAATATCCTCACCCTGATACCTTCCAGTCAGCTTTCCAAGTGCCCTCTCCCACTTCGGGCTTATTTAAATGCTAGGAGTATAGTTGTTTTCTATGAATGCTGCATGGTCAGACTTCATAAATCAACTGGAAGTCAGTGTCCAGTCAACTTGATCCTGCTGCATCTGATGATGTTTTCTTTTTCTATTTTAAAATAATTGCAAATGGTTCTGTCAGTCAAGGTGGCACAGCACACTGAATTGCCATGTGGAATTGTTTAGTTAAATGCAGTTTCTAAAAAAAGAAAAGAATCAACTTTTAATTAGAGAGCAGATTGTCAGCTGACATTTGATTTGTCCTTTGATGAGGAAGTTGGAAAACAGATGCCACAGAGTGAGGCCAGGTTGTAGTCCAGAAGGAGGCAGATTTGCTTGAGAGCAGGATGCGGTTTCAATGAACCATTGTTTCCTGAAATAGGCTGACCTTTCCGGTCTCTTCTGTTGGAAGTCCTTCCTCTGTATTTGATGCCAGTTGCCCATGGGACTGAACAGGAGTCCTTTAAACAGGACCATTCTCTCAAGCTGTAAGTTGCAGGACCCATGACCAACACCAGAACTCTGTTACCAGGAATACTTGAGTTGAGAAATATGCAGACCTCCATGGTGCTGTAGCTGAAGAATGTATCAGGCTGTGCACTTCCAGCTGTAGATAAAGCAATTTTTAAAGAAGGTTTTGTTGTGTGTTTCCATTCTATATTATACTCTTATATAGAAGCATTTTCATATAAGTATTATACTTGGAGTATATAACCTCCCCCCCTCCCCCCCGACATGTCTCTCTACTGTCCCCTTCTACCCATTAGTTCCTTTCTTCCCATGGACAGTTTTGTTTCTTGTCATCTGTACATACATCATTTAAAATATCTCCATGAAATCTAGGAAGCACAAATGAGAGAAAACTGAACTTTGTCTTTCTAAGACAGATTAATTTGCTTAATATGATTATCTCTGGTGGCATCTATTTTCTTGCAAATGACATAATTTTGTCCTTTATGGCTAAAAAAATTTCCATATAAACCAAATTCTCTCTATCCATCCCTCCTGTTGTTAGATACCTAGGGGTTTTTGTTTTCTTAACTTAATGCTTGGGTTCTGTGATGCTGGGGCTGTGGCAGAGGCAGCCTGTGCATCTCCTAGTTGAACTTGGTCTCATTGGTTGCACTCCATTTGTCCCTGGCACGGTGGCAGGGACACTCAGTCACTGTGAGTGGAGAGGATGACAGGAAGGGTTAAGCAATGAGGCCACCTCCAGGTGCCCATCATTCCCCATGTTTGTGCTCCATAGCCTTTTCTGTGTCTTGTTCAACAGTTAGTAAATGTGGGATGGCATGAATACCTCAAACTCAATGTGGTCATGTTTTAGCTCTTTGTAAATCTCTGCTCTCCCCTCCATCTCATCAGTCATGTAGTAGTTCACTTGCTTTTCTTTTTAAGCCAAGACTTGGAGAGTCATCTGGTCGTGGTCACCTTTTCTCCTTCAAATCCCGAAGACCTCATTGCTTCTCTCAAAGTCTCAATCTCATCTATACTTTCCCATATCCAAACAGCCTCCTGTTTCCTAGTTGCCTGCCGAGACCTGTCAGATGGCTGCCTGGCACCCCTGTCTCTGTTCTGACACTCCCTCTGGGCTGAGAATTATCTTTAACAGTACAATCATTGTCCTTTTTCTTGCACTTGGATGGAGCCTGTAGACTTGAGAGGACTGTGTGGGCTGAAGATTGCAATGACTCTGATTTTCCAAATGCAATAAAATACCTGTCAGACTTTCAGAGGTGTAAGTGGATGGCTGTTGTGTTATGGCACATGGAACCAGGGGTGTTTTTGTTCTCAAGAACCCTGGAACTTCAATTCCTAGAACTCAGGTAAATCATTACTTCATTTGGGACCTTGATAAGTTCACAACCACTGATACGTAGTGAAAAAACATTTAACACCTCCTTCCCTCTCAAGTGGTCCTCTTCCCCCCAAATATTCTTGGCCTAATAATGTTGAGTAGCAGTGTAACTCAGGAACTCATGAATACTTCTAGGCTATGGTAGAAAAGACGAGCATCCTATAGAGGAGGAAGAAAACCCAAGCTAGCAGTATAGCCCTCCTGTTAAGCACATTCTTTCCTGAAGCTTTGCTGTTCTTAACTGACCTTGAACTTGATCTGGTGTATGTTTACACATGCCAGCACATCTCTTGATATAACATCCCATACTCACAGGCTTCCTAGTCAAGGTAATGACCAGGAATAGAGAAATTACAGCTGGAGTTTTGGTGCAGTGTGGCCTCTAAGGAACACAGCTGTTCTGTGAACTTAAATTTGAAATATGACTGATGAATCATAGCAAGAAAAAAAAATGACCATGAGGTACCTTATAAGGAGATCTGTAGGCATCACAGGGACTGTAGTTGCGTTTATGACTAGTAACCCAGAGGCTCAGAGATGGGCCCCTTCCTTACCTTTAGAATAGAAAGTAATGAGATCTTTCTGGTGGATCTTAAGGGGAATTGCCAACCACTGCAGACAGTAGGAGGTACATAGGACTGTCCTGGTGTCAAAGTAGGTATCGGGGTGGGGCCTGAGCTCTGGCAAGTGGGTAGGAGCTAGATGACGGAGGGCCTTACTTGGGGACAGGATTAAACAAGGACTTCGGTTTATTTAACTCTGTCACTAGAGGAACATTGTTAGAGAATTTACTCTAGGGAGTTCTGGGTCAGATGCCTCTTTGGAATATGACTGCCTTCCTTAAGACCCTCCCACCCCCCCAAAAAAATACAGCAGTCTGATTCCCATCCTGTGTCTTTTACTCTATTCTTAAAAAACAAAACAAAACAACAACAACAAAAAAACAGGTATTTACTTTATTGTGTTTGTGTTTGGGGTGGAGGTGACTATGGCATGTGTGCAAATCAGAGTAGGACTTGAGGGAGTTCGTTCTCTTCCACCACATGGTTCTCAGGGGTCAAAGGCAGGTTGTAAGACTTGGTGGAAAGCACCCCTACCTGTTGAGCTATCTCTCTAGCTCTTTTCATCTGTTGTTGTGGGTGTGAGACTTCCCGTTGTGGGGCCTGGCTCCAGGTTAGTGACTTAGCCATGAAGATGATGTGCCTCTAGACTGCAATGGTGCAGTGAGTGCCTCTCTAGAGTATGAGGAGCTGCTGCACTATCAACACTGCCAGCCAGGGCCCTGCTGTGCTTGGACATCCTGGCTTCCAGTTTCCTCAGGTCTTAGAAATAGCACTTGGCTTTCTTGTTATTAGTCTGACAGGTTGGTTTTTAACCCTGCATATCGAGTAATGCTTATTTATGCCAGTAATATTTTTGTGCTAAAAAAGTTTCCAATGACTATGCTTTCAAGCAGGCATGAGGTTTAGATGAGTCATCTGTACCCCTCTGATGAAGATGTTCGAATCGCTCAGATCTGCTGCTACAGTGATTTTGAAGTTTGCTGTATGTTTTTGTTGGTAACAGGAAGTAAGGGAGATGGGCAGGTATCGAAAGCTTTACCTGCCCATGGGGTTAGATATGTTTTCATATCTAGGGCTTGGGAGAGTAGTGAGTTTAGGAGAAAACACAGGTTCCACAACTATTTTGGCAACCTTCAGGAACAAAGATCAAGCCTGGATTCAAGACTATGGAGATAGAGAAAAGAAGGGGGCATAGGAGACAGTATTAGGAGGGGGGAGTTAAGAGGGACAGGAATAGAATTTCTGTGTCAGGAGTGACAAAGGAGGAGAGGTTGGGGAAGTCCTGCTTTGGCTTCAGCAGCGTTAACAAGAGGAACAGGCTGACACCAGTCAGATGGGAATGCTTGAAATGGTGGTGTTCTCCCACCCTGCAGACAGATCCACACTCAGCACACAGAGGACTTGAAGGCCAAACCACATTAGCACCATGTGGCACTGCACTGGGAGTCACGGAGACAGGTTGGTTGAGTGCTAAGATGGCCCTTTGCTCCATTGAGACCCTGACATTTGGGAGTTGAGGGACTGGGAGGTAGGTCAGATAGGCACTGAAAGTCAGGGAGAATGCAGCTTTGCCTTATCTGGGGTGTAGTGAGTTCTGATTCTAGGTTTAGTGTTGTAGGAGATGGATTAGCACCCTCATGAGCAAGTCAGCAGTGTTGAGTGTGGTGGCGTTGGCAAGACCAGCGACTACTCACGCTCTCCCTGACTTAGGCCATCCAAATGGCCTTATTGACAATGACTCCACAGAGGTCTGAGTGGACAGAAGCCATGGCTAACGTGGAATATTGGG